CCCCCTCCCCCAACACGGCTCCAGTTTCCGGGGGGGGTTGGCACCCCGGATTACATCCTCCCCCCGCACCAAGCCGAGGGCAACATTGGAGCCCCCCTGGAAGGCTGCAGGATTCAGGTGAGGGGCTTTGGGGGGTCGGAGGTGTTGCCAGTCATTTAGGTGCTTAGTCTATAGAGGGGAGTCCAGGAGGGGAATTCTTGGGGTTCAGGAAAGAATTCTGAAGGTGGGAGGGTTTGTCCTTCACACACTTTACAGCCAATGGGAGCGTGGAGGGGGCGAGCTGGAGAGGGCCACTCTAATGGGGGAGGGGAATGGCCAACCTCGTGCTTCCATACCAACTGGAGGGCAAAGGGGCGTGGGGCGGTGTGTCCCCCCATTCTCTTCGTCCCCTGTGGGTACAGGAGCCCGGAGCCAGGTGAGAAGGGACCCTTTTGTCTGCCGAGGGGAGGGTGACCTGGCCAGCCGAGTGGGGCTGGTGGCCGTGGTTTCTGCTCAAGGTCGTGAATGCGTGCAGTTGGCACCCAGGCTGCGAACTGAGACGGTCCCCGGCGCCAGCTCCCTTTCTCCCCAGAGATGGTGGAGGGAGGATTGGTGTGCCGCCTTTGTGGCAGCGGTAGGAAGCTCGTAGTCATCACATGGCGTGCTGGAGGTTCTGCCGGGTGTGTTGCCTTCACGTGGATGCGGCCTGTGGGGGCCTCCGCACACATCTTCGTGGCCCCTGTAGCGTCTTGCCTGGACACGTGTCTGCTCCAGGCCGGGGAGGGCTGACGGCCCAAAGCTGGGGGTCCGCCTAGGATCCGCAGCCAGGCCCAAGTGGGCAGGGAGTGGGGCAGACAGCGTGGCCTGAGACAGGAGAAGCTCGAGACCTGGAAGGATTTCACGGCTCCCCAGGTTTCGGGTTTCTCCAGGGTGGCCTCGGCCATTGCCTCCGTCCCCTCCCCCAGCCCGGGACAGTTCTCTCCTTGTGTACTGCGGGGGAGGGAACGGAAAGGAGGCAAGAGTTCCTTTTCCCAGTTACTGAGCAGCAGTGGCCTCCCCTGTGACTCATGTGGGGGGAGGGAGGCTTGGGAACGGCCGGGCAGCAGTGACTTTCCGGAATGCAGGGACACCAACGAGAGTGATGTCTGGCTGCCCTTTCCCTTTCGATGCCCAGTATTCTCTCCACCTCCTCCTAAGACTTTTCTTTCCCGGCCGACCCCCTCATGGGGGCCCTGGCCTGCAAAGCCCCGAGTGGAGAACAGCAGGTTCGGGAGGCTGGGCCGCTAGGGGGAGGGGAGGCCTCTGCAGACTTGCTGTGTCATTGCCCGCCCTGCCGCGGCCACGCGGGCGGGGCAGCGTGTACTTTCGGGGAGCCAGGGCCTGATCCCGGCGTGGGGGGGGCTGCCCTCCTGAGGCGCACTTTCCCGGGTTACCGTACCCGGTCCAGAAGACCCGAGGTTGCGGCCATTTTAGACGCAATAGCCAAGGTTCGGGCTCAAGGGCTTTGGCGCAGGAGGGCGGGTGGCGTGGTTGGATCCAGGCCTTTACGAGCCCTTCCCGAGGAAGAGGAAGCATTTCTTCTGTTCGCTCACCTCCATTAATTTCCTTAACCAGATATGCACACGAGTGTTTTCTTTGGTGGCGAGGGAAGAGGAAATGGGGGGAGGAGAGCAAAGCCTAGGGATCCTCCGGTGGGGCAGCGCCTTTGACTCCTGTGGGGGGGAGCGGGAGCCCCGGAGGTGCCCGACGGGTCCTGCCCGACCTTGTGCTCCGATTCTTACTCCTCGTTGGTGTGCAACCCTGCTACCTACCCAAACTGAGCAAGAGTGAGTTGGGGGGAGGGGGCGAAACCGAGCTCCCAAAATGGCTCCTGCCCCTCCTCCGAGGCGGACGGCCCGGGGGGAGGGGAGGAGGGGAGAGAAGGAGGGGGAGGGCTAGTCTGAGCCACAGCCGCCGCCTCCTCCGCTCGCCCTCCCTGGCGCTGACCGATGGACGAGCTGCTCCGTGGGGAGGACTCCGGACCCTGGTGGGGGGAAGGGGGGTTCTGACGCCCCCGAGCCAGAGGGACCTTGAGAGAGGGGTGTGGGTCCTCCGGGGTGGGGGAGCGTGGGCAAAGGTCTGAGCTCGCCTGGACGGGTCGGGGGACCTCCCCGGTGCGCCCCTCGCAGGACCTGTTTTTTTCCGCTTTGAAGCAGACGCCGGCGTGAAGCTTGGGGAGGAGGTGGGTTACATTTGCAGGGTAGATGAGTGCGTGCGGAGGGCTTCCTCCCACTTCAGGGCTGCCGAGCAGCCCGCAGATGCTTTGCTAGCTTAAGGTACGAGTGGGGAGGGACTGGAGAGGTGCTCAGCGTGCAGGCGTTTGGAGCGCATTCCGGGTTTAGTGGCCTTGTCGTTAAGCTTTGGGAGTTCACAGATGAGAAGTGTTTTGGTTTTGTCTTTCGATTCTTGGTCTGGGGATTAATTTTGAGGCTAGCACGCCAGTATTTCGGTTGTGGAGCAAAGGAACGTTAAATTCTCTCGGTTGCAGTATTCGGGAGCCTTTAGCTGTTGGCTGCAGTGCAGCAGGCCGCGGCTCCTAAGATGGCGTCTTCTTCCTCGTTTCAGAGTCTCCGCCGGTGCGGCCTCGCTGCTGAGAACAACAACACGCCTGGCGTCCTGCGGCCACACCCCTGGCGGGCGGAGGCTGGCTACGCCCACGCGACCCCTCCCGTCCCCTGCCGCTCCGGCCCCTGGAGGAGGTACATCGGCATCCCTTGCCCGAGCTTGGCAGTCTCCATTTGCATGGTGCCTGGAAGACTCTTGGAAAGGGAGGCAGAGAGGGTGCTGGAGACCGGAGAGATGGCTTCTGCACCCCTTACAACCTCGCTCTTTCCTTTGGATCACCAAACTACACCACGGCCAATTGGCGCAGAGACGTGGCGGGTTGCCGCTTCCCTATGGGTCTATGCGGCACTCTTCTGCCTGGTGACTGACGCCTTGGAATTGGAGTTTATGACGTCATCGCTCTGGCCGACCAATAGGAAAGGCTCCCGCGAAGAGATGTCCCTCCCCCTTCGACTCTGCTTCCTCACGCGCGTGAACGAGCGAGCGCGCGCTGAGGGGGTGGGCGAAATCTCGAGCAGGGTGGCGCGCATGAGCAGCGAAGCTCCGCCCTCCTGCCTATATATAAAGGGCTGGCGCGGGGCTCGGCGGGGCCCATTCGGGCCGGGCGGGTTTTGCAGCCTCTAGAACGGGCTGGAGGATTCTGCCTACTGATAGAGTCTTCGAGTCGTCGGGGGGCCGCCATTACAATCCACGTCCATCCGCTTGGAAATGGCTTTCCTTTTGGCCTATGACCGATCCCGGCGAACAGTACAGACCCCATAGAAGCCCCCGAAGCTCCCCTTTTTCGGGCCCCGCCCAATCCTCGGAGTCTGTCTACCCCCTCTACTCCGCCCTCAAGAGGATTTCAAAGATGGAGGCGGCGGCTCACTAAACCACTTTTCTTGTTCATCCGCCTCCATCCGAGGTCGAAACGGAATCTTGTCCGGCCTGGGCGGTTCGGACAAGAAGAGGCGACCTCTGCAGATCAACATCGGGCTGTATTGACGACGGTGTCTGGGATCGGGGACCGTCTTTGGGTTTGAAGAGTCCGTCCCCCCTTCGCTCGCCCGCCTCAACCGAGGCCGCCGCCATTTTCTTGCTGTCCGCCGCCTGCGGAGCGCGCCAAGCTGCTGGGGACTCTGAGAAGCAGCGAAAGAGACTGCTTTCGTGCGGGCCCGGCGGGGGGGTTGTCGCCTGGAGCACCAAGGGCAACGGCCCCCCCCCACTTCCCGGGTTATGCTGGACCGGGCGGTGAGGGGAACCGAGGCCACCCGGACTCTCCGAGGCTGAGGGCAGCGCCGGTTCCCCGCGGTCAAGATGCTGCAAAACGTGACTCCCCACAACAAGTACGTAAATGTGGGCTGCGTGTGAGAAGGAGCGCTCGGGGGGCGGCGGCCTGGGGTGCGGGACGCCGTGCTCGGGGGTGGGGTGCAGAGCTATTGGGGCGCAGTGCTGGTTAGCGGCGCAGCTGTTGACTCGGGCTCGCGGAGGGGGTTGAGCGACGGTTTTGGAACGGTGGCGGCGGCCCAGTTACTGCGTGTGGGGGAAGTACAGGTTGTCAACTTACACCCTAGCTTTGCCGCCGGAGCGCGCGCGCAGCCGAGCCAGGCCGGGCTAGTTTGGGGAGGGATTGGGGATGGGTCATTTTAAGCGGGCAGCAGGTCTCGCGAATAGTGGCTCTGGTGTCTAGTGACGGTTTGTCTTGGGCTTTGGCGGGGGAGGGGGGTCGTGGCCATCTCTGGTGCCTTGTAGGGTTGCCATGGTGATAGAGCCTTCAGGACTGGCAGCAGGGATTCCTGGAGTAGGATAGGAAGGTCTCTCCCAGCCTGTGGGCTCATTTTTTTCACGGTATGTCATTTCATCTTTACTAGTTTTCTAGTGATTCTGTTGGTTGTGTGTTTCATTTGTTAGGGTCCCGGTAGAGTTTTGGTAGCATTGAGAGTTCGATTCAGGGTAGCAAGGTGGAATAGTTCGGTTCTGAGGATGTAAACAAAAATCTCTGTATAGTTTTAAATCTTTCTTGGTTGGGAAACACCTGGTCGGTAAAAGCACCTGAGGAACTAAACTTCAACTACTGTTAGGATTTAGTCTTCGTAGAGTTGATGCTGCAGTGAGAACTGTTAGTGGAATCCTATGGGGGTGGTGTTAATTCTCTTCGGAGAGACTTGCTGACCTTGACCATTTGTTTGGCAGCTTCCTTTTTGAGTTCCTTTGAAGGAGTCTTTCTGGTTCTTGCGAATAATTGTAGGCTGGCAGCTCAGTTATTCTGGACTGTGAAGTCTTGACAAATGCTCTTGGCAGAATTTGTCTTCAAGTTGGTATGGTTCTTCCGTTAGATTTCTAGTCCTTTTTTTTGCTGCAGAGCTCGTGGAGGATGCCGGTCTCCTAGATGTATTCTTAGGTGCACGTCAGCATTTTATGGAAATTTTCTCCATAATGTTTCCTTTTCTTCCTCTTTTCTCCTCCTTCCCTTAGGCTTCCCAACCACCATGGCAACCACCAAACCCCTAGAGAGGAGGAAGCTTTGGGGCTTAGTTTCTCAGCTCCACCCTTTTTATTTTACTCAAGCCCCAAGCATATAGGGCTATAGTTCACATGTTGTGCCTTATCAAAAACTATACTGTTGTTTCTTAATTAAGAATGTAGAGTTTGTAAGACTCTCCAGAAGGTAGGATCCAGAAAAGTCTACTAAAAGTAAAACAAAGTTGGGGGGGGCAACCATAACATTTCCACAGATTGGACACTGGTTCTCAACAAGAGCCACTTGTATAAGTATAATCTCTTTGCTGAGCCCAATTTTATTTGGTACACCATGCAAATTGTGTTTTTTCCTGGTTTCCCTGAGATTTCTACATTTAACTTTCTTTTCCTCCTCCCTACAGGCTCCCTGGGGAAGGGAATGCAGGGTTACTGGGGCTGGGCCCAGAGGCGGCAGCGCCAGGGAAAAGAATTCGAAAGCCCTCCTTGTTGTATGAGGGGTTTGAGAGCCCCACGATGGCTTCAGTGCCGGCTTTGCAACTGACCCCTGCCAATCCACCACCCCCGGAAGTGTCCAACCCCAAAAAGCCAGGACGGGTAACCAACCAGCTTCAATACCTGCACAAGGTGGTGATGAAGGCTCTGTGGAAACATCAGTTTGCATGGCCATTTCGGCAGCCTGTGGATGCTGTCAAACTTGGTCTGCCAGTAAGTAGACATTGGAGTGGGAAGATAAAGGGGTGAGCAAGAATGCGTGTGAGTGGGGGGGGGCTGCCTAGTATAGGTGCTGCGGCCCCTAGCCTGGTTTCCCTGAGATTTCTACATTTAACTTTCTTTTCCTCCTCCCTACAGGCTCCCTGGGGAAGGGAATGCAGGGTTACTGGGGCTGGGCCCAGAGGCGGCAGCGCCAGGGAAAAGAATTCGAAAGCCCTCCTTGTTGTATGAGGGGTTTGAGAGCCCCACGATGGCTTCAGTGCCGGCTTTGCAACTGACCCCTGCCAATCCACCACCCCCGGAAGTGTCCAACCCCAAAAAGCCAGGACGGGTAACCAACCAGCTTCAATACCTGCACAAGGTGGTGATGAAGGCTCTGTGGAAACATCAGTTTGCATGGCCATTTCGGCAGCCTGTGGATGCTGTCAAACTTGGTCTGCCAGTAAGTAGACATTGGAGTGGGAAGATAAAGGGGTGAGCAAGAATGCGTGTGAGTGGGGGGGGCTGCCTAGTATAGGTGCTGCGGCCCCTAGGAAGTCCCATTTCTCCCCTTTAGGGGGGACCACCAGATTTCTGGATTCTTGGTCCTTTATGATTGACCCAACCGCTTGCTGTCACTAAATTGGCATCTCTCTCATTGTGCCCTCCTTGTGTCCTTCCTTAACTTTTGTGCCCTGGCTCCATTTTACAGATTCCCACCCCGGGTTGGGAGAGGACCACGGTGGCCAAAATTCTTAGCTTCTTCCTTTCCCTCATGCAGCCCATGGATAGCCAGCCCCAGAGGTAATGTCACAGGATGGGAAGTTTACCAAGTGGGCGGGAAGTGGGAGGTTAGAGACAGGCAATAGGGGCTTCCCTGTGGGTGAGAATCCTACTCCACTTTTTTTCTTGTCCTGAAGTTTACTCGGGGCCGCAGTTTAGGGAACTGTATTTCTTTGACAGGAAGGGAAGGGTATGGGTGTGTGTGAATGTGTGTGTTGGGATCAGTACTATACCAGAAACAACAGGCTTTTATGTTTGATGGCTCTGGTCTGGTGTTTCTTTATTTTAGGACTATCACAAAATTATCAAACAGCCTATGGACATGGGTACTATTAAGAGGAGACTTGAAAACAATTATTACTGGGCTGCCTCAGAATGTATGCAGGATTTTAATACCATGTTCACCAACTGTTACATTTACAACAAGGTGAGTTTTTTATTTGTGTTTTTTAGTAGATGGGGACAGGCAGCACTTTCATTACTGTTAAAGTTTTTAAGTCTTTTATCATTAAAGGTGTTACCAGGTAGTCACGATCTTAAAAAAACACCCAAGCTTCAAATGGAGCTACTGAACATGGGGCTTCAGTGCTCCAAACTTAAAGGTTATTTAAGTAGAACATTTTTCATACTTGTCCCTGTTTCTCTGAAAGCTCTAGAGACACCTGGTAGAGCAGGTTCTGTTTGCCTTATCAGTTTATTTATATTCTGAACTTTAAGGGATCATATATTTCTTTTTTGTTATATTTTAAGCAAGTTGGGAGGTTAGTGGTCTGGTATAGATAATTTTCGGCACAAAGGTGTAGAAGGGATGGCGGTTATGCCCCAGGGCTAGGAATTTCTCTGAGAAAGATGATGTATCTACTGCTGACATTTGAAACTTTTAATTTTGTGTGTCTTCTTGCAGCCTACTGATGATATTGTTCTGATGGCACAAACGCTAGAAAAGATCTTTCTACAGAAAGTGGCATCAATGCCACAAGAGGAACAAGAGCTTGTGGTGACCATCCCTAAGAACAGTCACAAGAAAGGGGCCAAGTTGGCAGGTAAGAAGAGTGGGAATTTTGCAGCTAGTCACCTAGCGTGGTAAAGAGAATGAAAATAAACTTTATTTTTTTCCTCCTTTTCCTAGCACTCCAGGGCACTATTACTAGTGCCCATCAGGTGCCTGCTGTTTCCTCTGTGTCACACACAGCCTTGTATACTCCGCCACCTGAGATACCTACCACTGTCCTCAACATTCCCCATCCGTCAGTCATCTCTTCACCCCTTCTCAAGTCCTTGCACTCTGCTGGACCCCCACTTCTTGCTGTTTCTGCAGCTCCGCCAGCCCAGCCTCTTGCCAAGGTAAACATCTATGACTTCTATTGGGTGGTGGGAAGAGATGATGATGAGGTGGACCTGGGATAATAGGCATCTTTTTATCTCTGCAGAAAAAAGGGGTAAAGCGGAAAGCAGATACTACCACCCCTACACCCACAGCCATCCTGGCTCCTGGTTCTCCAGCTAGCCCTCCTGGGAGTCTTGAGCCGAAGGCAGCGCGGCTTCCACCTATGCGCAGAGAAAGCGGCCGCCCTATCAAGCCCCCACGCAAAGACTTGCCTGATTCTCAGCAGCAACACCAGAGTTCTAAGAAAGGAAAGCTATCAGAACAGTTAAAACATTGCAATGGCATTTTGAAGGAGTTACTTTCT